AGTCAGTTCAAATTCAAGTCTTCACTACTTGCTGGCCTGGTATTTCTCAACGTGTGGTCCTGGGAACTGTAGTAGCAGCCTCACCAGGGAACTTGTTAGAAATGCAAATTCACAGCCCCACCCAAGACTGACTGATTCAGACACTCTGGGAATCGAGCCCAGCAATTTGTGTTTTAACAAGCACTACAGGAGATTATTATGATGCACTCTTAAGTTTGAGAACCACCCTGCCCCAACTCTTAATGTGCATAAGAATCACCTGAGGAGCTTGTTAAAATGCAGATTCTAATGTAGCAGGTTTGAGGTGGGGCCTGAGAGCAAACGTTCTGAACAAATTCCCAGGTGATGTTTTCCACAGACAATACTGTTTTCCAACCTGTTGTTTACTAAAATCACCTATGGTACTCATAAAATACAAGTTCCCAGACCTCGTGACCAAATTAAGATGAATCTCAGAGAAAGGTTCAGTTGAATATAACCAGTGATTGTCCACCTCCATCTGACCTATACAATAAAATCACCTGGGAATTTTTTAATAATCTGATGCCAAGATCCCATAAAAGATCAATTAAATAAGAACCCTGGTTTTGTGACTCAGACATCCATATTTTAAATAAGTCCCGGGTGATTCAAATATGACAACAATGTTGAGAACAACTGCTCTGAGTCTAACTGGCTCAAAACCTGCTTTTACAATAAGCAGTTTCCAGTTTCCTGGGAACCCACATATAAATCTAGGACTTTATCTAAGACAAAATCTAAGATTTTGTTCGGTTCCCACACACACACTATATTTAAACACTGCGGATTACAAGTATTTGTTATATTTGTTATCCAATATTCTTACCACCACTGTCACCTTCCCTCCAACACTGTCTGCAATTTTCCTATCCACCCCACAGCCTATCCCCATAGAAGGCCCACAATAATGTATTTTGTATTGCTTATTACTAGAAAATGGCTTAGAGTATGATCCAAAAATATTTCTGTAGTAGAAAACTGAAAATTGTTGCATCTCACCATGGGACATTAAGTCCTTGTCTGGGGTTTACTAATCAGGTTGCTGCATGTTAAGCCTTCTGTGTTGTTTTTGTTAGTCAAGTTTGGATGCCTGCTGCATTATATTCCCATCCAATCTAGTGTGCCACTACTGGGAAGTTCATGTTGTAGGTTTTGGAGATGTCACACAGCCGCAAATATGGCCACGAGCTCCAGAAAATCCAGAATATTTAACTGCATAGCATGGCAGTGGTTTGGGGGCATGGGAGCAGCTGCTGGGGCTTTGTTTGGGTGGAAGAGATTGCCCCAGAATAAGACCTCTGATTGTAAAGAGTGAAATGCATCTGATGTCATGTTTTATCATGACGTTAAACTTAATTTCTGTAGATAAATGTGCCTATGTAATGGAGATAAAAATTTAGCGCATTTCTAACTATCAATATAAACAATATCTGTCTTCTATTAAGCAAGTTTACACCATTCTCCCAAGCTCTAGCAACCTTTGCTACCTCTCTGGGATGTAGCAAGTACTCCAAGAAACAGCAGCAGAAAAAAAGTGATGGATTTGCATTCATACAGCAATTTCATGTACTGGCATCTCTCCAGCCCCAAACCTGAAACAGACAACTAAAAATTTAATAATCGTTCGAAGTGAAAGGGAAACTGATGAATCTAGAACATCTAAACTTACAAAGGCAGACTTCACCAGGTACAGACAGTTTGACAGAAAGGTCCTGGAAAGTAATGAAAACAGTGTGCACTTGTGTACGTGAGAATCTGAACTTGTCAATAATACATCTTATGGTAGACAGAGAAAATCTGAAACACCAATGCTCATGACAAGACATTAGTAGCTCTGAGGGGGAAAGAGAAATGTCTATTTATGTCTTATATTCCCCCAGAAAAATGCCACACCAGTAAGTACCCAATGCTATTAAATATATGTGACAAAACTAGAGAGAGTGTACAGGAGCTAAGGCATTTGCCTTATATGCAGCAGACCCTGGTTCAATCCCCATTATCACATATGGTCCCCTGAGCACCAGCAGGTATGGCCCAATGCTCCCCTCAATATTGCATGGACTGGGGAGTGGGAGTGATGGTGAGGAAGACTGGGAAACATACAGGTTGGAGAGACAGTACAAGGGGTAAAGATCTCTCATCAATGTTTGATCCCTGGCACCAGGTATAGAGCCCCACATATGGTCACTCAGGAGCCAGGAGTAAGCCCTGATCACTGCTGGGTGTGATACCAAAACAAAAATTAATAATAATAATTATTAAGTGTCATTGAAAGAAAAATATGGGATGGTACTAAGGGTGTGTCAAATTATTAGTTATTTCACTCCCAAAAGTAAACACCACTTAGAATAAATGTTCCTGATTTTTCATAGTACGCCTCAAAATTGACAAAGGAAAGAGTGAAAGTTGATTTATGTGGTAAGACTCCTCTTATCACATAAATCAACTTTCACTCTTCCCTTTGTCAAGCTCAGAGTCTCTAAGTTGTTTCATAGAATACAGGATGCACCAAGGCCTGCTAAATGATAATACTTATTATTCTTCTACCATAGTGGCAACATAATCCACGGTTCTCAAAAGTGTCTCTTATATGTTCAATTCTGTAGAAAAAAAGAAATCCAATGGAAGGGGTATTAGAAGAGAAATAACACCTACACAGGAGTGCAAAGTAGCCCTACTAAATGGCATTTCTATAAGCAGTTTTCTGTAGGAACTGGTCAAACTTACTTTCTTTTTAAAATTCTTGTTATTCAGTTAACCCAAACTCACTTTAAAATGTGTGAAACTGGGGCTGGAGTGATAGCTCAGTGCGTAGGGCGTTTGTCTTGCACGCAGCCCAACTCAGGTTCGATTCCCAGCATCCCATAAGGTCCCCAGAGCATGGCCAGGAGTAATTCCTGAGTGCATGAACCAGGAGTAACCCCTGTGCATCGCTGGATGTGACACAAAAAGCAATAAGTAAATAAATAAATAAATAAAATTAAAATGTGTGAAACTAGCACCTCCTGAAATACACTCCTGAAAGTGTATTCTTATATGCTTTGGAACAATGGAGCGTGAATTCTAAAACAGTGTTTGCCAACCTCATATAACTAAACAGGAATGAATTTTTTCAGTCCTATGACTTCCAGGGTCAACCTATGTGTCACTCCAAGACTGTCTTTAATACATTACAGACATTCAAGAGAAGGTAGATCAGTAACAAATAGGTGACTTGACATAATAGTTATTTCATAGATTTTTTTTACAAGACAGTGTTTCCAAAATGAAGTTTACGTGTAAACCAAGAAACAAAATTGGCTGAAGTACAGGTGTAGGTTTAAGATTTAAATTTTTAGAACAAAAACGCAAAATATATAATGATATTTAAGTTAGGAATGTTTGTTCATGCAATTCTCATGAACCAGTGCCCAAAGATGAACCAAGTCTGAAAGAAATGCAGACCACAGAAGTCAAACAAAATTTAATACATTTCAAGTATCAAGACCAAAGAAAACAAAAGCTTATAATTTTCAGGACATTTTATTGTAGGTCCTATTTTTAGATCATAATTGAAAATTTTGGATTGAGGTGAAATTCTCTAATCTCAGAAAATAAAAAGCATTATAAAAAGAACATCAATTCAGATATTTATGATATGGGGGACAAGGGGCTCTTGTTTTAGCTAGAGAAAGGGTAGACGCTTTTCAGTGTAAGTTTCAGTGACATTTTTATTTTTTCTTGTCCATGCTAAATACTCATCATAGAAAAAAAAACAATAGCCCTCTTTGTCATTCTTCCCTTCCTTGGGCTGGCTTTACATTCCATCTCGCCTTTAACTCAAAAAAGTCAGTTTACACTCAGTTTACACATTAAAAAAAAACCCAGATGTCCCATCTCCCACACATCCAAATAGCCAGGGATTAGAATGAACCTGGCTTTTAGCCACGACAGCGTTATTTTAAACAACTTAAAACACACGCTGGGAGGCTAAAAATCCTTAAAAGCACCAAAACCTCAATGGAAACCAAACACTCCGTGCCGGGACTGTTGAACTTATGTCTGTCACCGAGCTGAAAGCAGATGTTTGTAAAAGTCCACTGGACACACATACAGGCTTACTGCACACGGGAACAGTGGCCCAAAGGAGAAGGGGACAGTTCTGTTTGAATGAGCTATTACCCAGACGGACCTCAGAATGAAGTCTGGCGGGGCGGGGCAGGGAAGGAGGGGGTCACTCTGGCAAGTGGGAGAGAACTCGCCGGGCGCTTCCCTAGAAACACTTGTGAATGGCCGGGCTCGGATCAAAACAGGCAGTGAGGGAGAAAGGGGGGTTTCAAAGCCCAGCTCCCTCCCCGGTACACGGCGAAGGAAGCCCCGAGCAGAGCTGTGCGCGCGCCAGGCTCGGGAGCCGAGTTCCATCACTAACACAAGTTGGCGAGTTGCTATTTGGCACCCCGCAAGGGGATAGGAACGCTCCAGGCGCGGGCTCCGCGCGCTGCCCACACCCGCGGGGCTTTCACACGGGGTCAAGGCAAGCCAGGTAAAGAGGGCTTAGGGTGGCTGAGATCGCCAACATCTCCCCCGCCCCCCGCCCGTCCGCGCCCCTACCCGGAGTCGGTCGGGGAGCCCGAGGGCGGGGAAGACCAAAGAGATCAGGAAAAGGTCCAAACTCCCCCGAAGTTAGGGCAAAGACACGGCGGACGCCTCCGGGGGCTCCGGGGGCCGGCCCGCGCAGCCGCGCCCGACTCCAAAGTGTGGGGTGGGGGCGAGTGGCCCCGGAGGGCAGCCCCGCGGGGTGCCGCGAGCGAGGTCGAGGGTCTACGGGGACCCGGCGCGGTGCGAGGGGCGAAGCAGCGGCGGCGGCGGCGGCGGCGGCGGCAGCAGCGGCGGCGGCGGCGGCGGCGGCGGCGGGCGGGGAGGCGGGTGCAGACTTTGCCTCAACTCCGAGCCCCATCCCGAGCGCGGGGGAGAGGGCGGCGGGGGGCCGAGGTACTCACTAGGGTTCGTTGGTGAAGCGGGGGGTCCGAGGCTGCTGGTACCCATACAGGTGACAGTAGAGCACATCGAAGCAAAAGCAGCACATCTCCGCGGACACCACCATCTTCCGGGCGCCGGGCGCCGAGGACGAGGCGGCGCACAAGCCCGCGGGCGAGGAGGCGGCGGCGGCAGCCGGAGTAGAAAGTAGGGTTCCCACTCCACAGCTCGGAGGGGGCGGCAGGGAAATCCCCCCGCCGCCGCCGCCGCAGCCCTGGGGGGGAGCGAGGGGACAGCCGCTGCCGCCGCCTCCTCCAGTCAGCCCGCCCAGCCCGTTGAGCCGCGTCCCGGCGCCTCCTAGTCCCAACTCCCCAGCCCGGCACTGGCTCTCTCCGCTGCAGTGGGAGGAGGCGGAGGCGCCGCCACCGCCACCCGAGCCGGAGGGGGGCGAACTGGACAGTTTCTGCTTCTTCACCCCGCAGCAACCCGCCGCCATCTTGGAACAGTCTCCCCCACGCAGCGCTTCCGACCCATAAGTGAGGCGAGCTGGCAGCGGGGGCGAGCACGCTGCGGCCCGGCCGCCGGGGGCGCGCCAGGGGCTCAACGGCCGCGCGCGCGCTCTCTTTCCCAAACGGGCCGCCCGGCCACGCGGCGGACTCGCGCGCGCGCGCGCGCGCGCGCTGCCGCCGCCGGCCTCGCCCCCGTCCCACCCGACTAGCGCCTCGCGCAAACCGCAATCTCTATCCCCGCGGCTGGCCAGAGGCCGGGAGGCGGGTCGGTCGGAAGAAAGACTGAAAACGAGGACTTTGAAAAATTGGCGAGTGTGAGCCAAGTAGGGTCCTGGCTACTCCCGAAGAAGCAGCTGGGGAAAGGGAAACTTGCGGGTGGGGAGGCGGCGGGGGCAAAAGACACTTTTGAAGTTTGGATCCCGGTCGCAGTGCATCGCTGGATGTCCAGCGCTGCTCAGGGTGTTAGTCCCACTTGAGCGGAGCTTGGGAGGCCCCTGCGCTCAGCCGCCCACCTCACGCGCGGCTTTTCCCAAAAGACCTGGGTGGTGTGAGCAAGCAGGTGGTCAGAACTCCAACCCGAGACCTCCCCGGAAAAGGGGTCTCCTTCAGCTTTTCCCACTCGCGACCCCTTTCCACCCGAGGAATTGTTACAGAGCCAGGGAATCTAGATTTGTATGATAGTGGTACAAGTCAAGCATTTGCCGATAGCAAATCATACATTTAGTTTACAGGAACCTTTTGGCCATCCCCACGTTCAGTCGTGTCCCTCGATGGAATTAGCTTGACAGTCAAGTAGGTAAAAATCAGTAGGGGGAAATGGCCACAGCTGTGGCTTCAATATCAAGCTAAGCGCCTGTGAGGGGTTCCAAGATGCTGGGAAAAGCAATAGTCCTTCGCTTACTGACAAATAACCCAAGCCCCACTGAATGTCCATATCTTCTCCTAGGTCCCCTCAATCCTCCCTTCGAGCCCCTGAAAACTTTTACAAGCAAAAACATCAAGTCCCAATCAACCCCCCACCGATTCAATTGAAGATGTAAAAGAAGTGTAAGTGTAAATTACACTCCAACAGTGAGGGCGGGGCTGCGCTGGTTAAGGAGCAAAACAATTAGTGCTATATCTGTAGTCTGCACAGATCTTACAAGTGAAAGGAGCAGGTTAGGGTACTTGGTCATACTCCGAAAGATTTTTGTCAGGCATTTAATTCGGTTTGGGGCTTCCTTTTTACAATTTCTCCATCAACGAATGTTTGGCTGAATGAGAGGCGGATGATTGAGTCAGTCATATATTCTGAGTACCTAAAACAGCAAGCAACCAAATGTTAAAACTCATGGGAATGAACCTGATAGAAACAAAATATTAGTCATTTACTTTGTGTCCGTATCATGCGGCAACATCTAGCCACAATCAGATACTTGCATATTTGCAAAATTTAGAGGATTGATTTCCTCATCTTTAAACTAAGTGGCTGGGATCTCGAAATAATCCGGGCTAGGGCTAGGGCTGGAGAGGCAGTACAGGGTAGGGAACATGCCTTGCACCTGTCCAAACTGGGTTGGATCCTGGCACCACGCATGGTCCTCCACTCCTGCCAGGGGTGACCCATGAGCACAGAGTCAGGGGTAAGCCCTGAGCACAGCATAGTGTAGCCAAAAAAAAAAAAAAAAGAAGGAAGAAAGGAAGGGAGAGAGGGAGGGAGGGAGGGAGGAAGAAAATCAATGGTGCTATTCAGTCAAGTTAGGGGTAAAAGGTTTATTCACTCAATAAATATGGAACGTCTATGCAATACTTTGTGCACACTTTACCTATGTGAAAATCGCAGGAATTGCGTTTCCCACTCTCAATGTTTATGAATGACAACCTATCTGTATATATATAATCAAATGAAGAGCTACTATTATGCAATTTGGAATGCCTCAGATTATCCCATAAAAATTCAAAATAATGTCTATCTCATTTGATCTCCATAGTAACCCTCTCAGAGTTTGCTCACTTACAGATGAGGACATTGAACCTTAGAAGTAATTTGTACAAAAAAAGAAGTAATTTGTACAACCTCACTCACATACCTAGAAAGTGACAAAGTTGACAAAATTTGAATGCAAGCAGATCTTGTGTCTCTTAATTTTAATATATTATTGAAAGGTTCCTCTCGGAGAGCCTGGCAAGCTACCGAGAGTATTCGATATGCCAGACACAGTAACAACAAAGTCTCCAATGGAGACGTTACTGGGCCCGCTCGAGCAAATCGACGATCAACGGGAGGGCCTTTACCTTTTACCTTATTGAAAGGTTAGTGATGGATAAAGATGATGACATTTCACTATGGAAGATGGCACAGTGGTTTAAAGGAAACAACTTATTTTCTGTGAAGAGATCGAGAAATACTGAAATTTGTTATCAAGAGACGAGGCAGAATCTCCTTTAAAAGAGATTTAACATTGGGCAGGTGAGATAGTACAGAATGTAAGGCATTTGCCATACATGCGACTGCCCATGTTCAATCCCCAGTACCCAATATGGTCCCCTTACCAGCACCTCCAGGAATTATGCCTGAGCACAGAGCGAGGATTGAGCAAGTCCTGAGCACCACTGGCTGTGGCCCAAACCCCAAAATTAATTAATTGAGATTTAATAAAATACATCAACTTTCTAGGATAGTTAGAGGCAACCTGAAAGCAAAAGAAATGGGTTAACTGGTTTGTGATGTGATCTCATCTTTTAAAACTTTGTTATTGTTAGAACTCTTCTCCTGGTTGAGGCAAATAACATTTCATATTCAACTACTCGTGGTGTAAAAAGAATGCATTCATCTTTTGGCCTACATTGGAGAAGAGAAGGGTTTATTTTTTAAAATGCTCCACAACTGTTAGGTTATATTGCTTTGTTTTTTATGCTCTATCCTTTATAGAACTTATTAACTTGTTTGAAACCAGGTCAAATACAATGCTAGACAATAGGCATGAATTTACTAACCACTCCACTAAGAAGTATTCACTTTTAGAGTAGAAAACCTGTGCCATAAATGACATCACATAACAGTTTAGCACAGGAAGCAAAGTAGGATACCATGGATGGCTGCTTCTGCAAGGGGAATTTAGGAAAGCAGAATGTAATCTCCCAATTTAGAATTTGGCCAGTAGACAAGTGTCTAACGCCCCTACTCTTGTGAAAATAGCAAAGAATCTTTAATAAGCACCAGTAGACATGTCCTTAGTTCTGCATTTCATTTAAAAGACAAAGCACTATCATGACTCTCATACCAGACTGAGACACTAAAGCAATGGGAAACCCTAACGCAAGGAAATCCCAGCTGAAATATAAAAATAGCTATTCCGCCCATGGATTTCAAGTCCAATTCCAAACCCGAGGAGCATAAAGGAAATAGACAAACCCAAACACAGTCATCATAGAAAATACATGAGTACCTGACCACCGGAGGTTACTTACCCAAGTATACTGTTTTATTGGCTGGCTAAAAGTGGGGAGAAATACTCTAATCCTTTTTATTGCGTTCACTTCTTCTTAGTTTGGCTCATCTCCTATACTAAACTTGAGCTTCAAGATGCTTTGCAAATCTCCTGGCAATTACTGGTGGTGGTGGTAATGCCTTCTTTTAGCCTTTGAGGAAATACTTTTCCTGGCCTTAGTTTCTTGCAAAATCACCAACATAGAAATAAACATTTTATTCAAACATTCATGAAATCAACAAATCCAATTCTATGAATTTTTTTCACTTTTTCTTTGTTTTTATATCTTTTGCAAAATGCACATTAGGTGGAAAAATTGACCTTGCTTAGAATTCTCCTGACTTGAAAAATAAAAGTCAAAGTACGATAGAACACATGTTGTTTCTACCCACTGCTGATACTGTAGTGTGGTGATAATAACCTCTGCAGGAAACGTTAAGGTGCCTTCTGCTTTTTGTAACTAACTGTCAAGCTGATAGCTAAAGATTCCACATTTCTTTTTAGGGGGGTTGGGTGGGGTGCTGTGGGCCACACCCACTGGTTCGCAGGGTACCATGCCAAGAATCAAACTCACATGCAAAATATCTTTACTAGTCCTTTGAACTATTTCCCTGACCCTCCATGCTTCTTTTAAATTAAAAAAGTGAACAAGCTCTGCTTTCTTTGTTAACAAGGCATATTCAAACTATAAGCATTTCCATGCAGGCCTCTAACTCTATAATTCTGTTTAATGAACTTTGTCAAATACTTTGTTACACATTTGTGGAAAAGAACTTGAACAAAGGCTGTGCACTTTATGTAGTTAGTATATGTGGTAAAACTGGAAAATGTATTACTCAATGTAACTTTTACCTGAATTTAGTCTCATGTAATTTTATTTTATAAACTAACAATAATACTAACAATAATTTAATGAGGTCTTGAGCTTATTATAATTTGTCACAAAATTATTGCTAAAGTTGAAAATTATTGCTTAGATTCTTGGGGGTATGGTTTAGGTGAGTAATGTTCACAAAGCTCAATGGGAGAGGGAGAGACTTCCATTTATGCCCAAACAAGTGTTATTTTTATCCTGTCATCAAACTTTCTTAACTGTCATCCTTGAACAACTGCAGAAGCTAATATTCTTAGCTACTACTTTGATCTAATGCTGTATACTTATAATGCATGGTTGTGGTGCTGGAGGTAGTAATCAGTTCTCCTTTATGTGAATGCTGAAGTTCTTTGCTTACTTTTTAATTCAAATTGATAAGTCCTCTCTTGTTTTCCCGGTTACACAACAGATCTTTACTGAACCCTTTCTTTATCTAATGAACGCACTAATGAGCCCAAACATCATCCTCTACCTTGAACTGTTTTCTAGACAGCTCATTTATAGCTTCTATTGTGAATTGGAATGAAAACTATTTGAATGTTGTTTTGTTATCTATTTTCATATGACAAGGATATATGAATCTTAATGAGATTTAGAGGTTGTAATATCGACTGAATATGGAAGAATGAACAAAGTTAACTAATGTGGGGGTT